TGAAACCCTAAATCTGAGGGTTCGCACCCTATATAAACAACTTAACTCAGCCTCCCTTGTCCCTAACACTCTCTGAAAGCTTCAAATCGAACACTAACTATTTTTGTGTGAGTTAAGGCCATTTTTGGTGTTCTTGTGTGGATTGTAAAGCTTGGAAAGAAGAAAGGAGCTTATAAATCGAGTTGGGGCTTGTATATCCGGAGATCTTACTTCATTTTCAATAGCTTCAAGGTATAATGCCCCTGTCTTGACTCATCTACGTGTTTATTCATCATTAACTTGGGATCTCAATGGATTTCTAAGTCATTTTTCGGATTTGGAAGTGTTAAGTGAGATTTGACTTCAGATCTGGGCCTTAAGAGCGGTCTCATGGCATAAAGGTGCCAACTTTAGGGCCATGAGACCCCTTGCACATTGTAGGACACTTTATATGGATTTTTGAGCTAAAAACCCCATGCATGTGCATCAAGTTTGGAACTTTACGAATAAAATGGACATTTGGAGGCCAGATCTATGGTTTTTGTGTGTTAGACCTCATTTAAATCGACTGTATGGAATTGGTCAAGGTTGGACTCGGCGAGTTGTTCTTGACAGTCAACGAGTCGGTGACCATTGTGCACCAAACCCTTTTGGTGAACGGTAAAGTCATAGGAAGGAAGTCTCTTGTGGGTTAAGACGTGAAAAGGGACCTGGAAGCCATGAGACTCGGCAAGTGGTATGAGCAGACTCGACGAGTCCATAGCAATCTTCCAATCTTTGAATATGGACTTGACGAGTTGTTCATACAACTCAGAGAGTCATAGACTGGACAACTTCTTAATTTAGAGATGAACTCGACAAGTTAAAGAAGGAACTCAACGAGTCAGATGAAGATGGTCCCGATGTTATGATTAAAGGAGAACATGTCGAGTTTTTTCAAGACTCGACGAGTGGAGCTGGGGTTTTGTGTGGGATGAGAGAAGCATGGACTCGACGGGTTGGTAGGCCAACTCGGCGAGTTAGGTCAACTGAATGTTGACTTTGACCAATGTTGACTTTGACTAAACTTGGATTGACCTTGTTTAGGGTTGTATGTGATTTGTGTTGACTTGAAGGTTGTCGTGTAGGGATCGAGGAGTCGTAAGGAGTCGAGTTGTGCGCTGAGGATTGTTTAGACACTACACGATATTGAGGTGAGTTACCTTCCAGTAGGGGTGGGTTTAAGGCCAGAATGTTGGCCCACCAAAAAGGAGTATTTAGAAGATAATGGTCTTTGTGATAATTATCTTGGTCTGTTTATGTGTTGGTTATGAGGTTTATCTGAGTAGTATGTTATGTGTATGGTAGGGATTAGTTTCCCTGACAGTGGTCCTTAGGACCCAAGGGTAGGTCAGTACCCAGATATGCCTGGCTGTATGCTTATATCTGTTGATTGTATGCTAGTTGTAGGGGTGAAATAATCCCCAGTTACCGCGATGTTGATTACTGGTTGAAAGATACCGATGATGGTTACCGGTTGAAAGATACCGATGAAGGTTACCGATTGAAAGATACCGATGAAGGTTACCGGTTAGAAGATACCGACGATATTGTATGGTATGAGGTATGATGGGGGAACTCACTAAGCTTTGTGCTTACAGTTTTGGTTTTGGTTTCAGGTATGTCTTCGTCGAAGGGGAAAGAGTCGGCGGTGTAGCAGCGCATCACACACACACACACACACACACATGTTTCCGCAAGAAGTTTTTTGGACTATACTCTAATTTTCCATAATTATGATGTTATGGTTTGAAATACAACATTATTATTTTGTAATGGAATGTTGTATTAACAATGTTTTGGTAAAATGTTTATTTAATGCGTTAATTCAAAAATGAAATTTTTGGCCTTGGAAATTGGGTTGTTACAATATTATTACAACAAAATAGTATCAGTTCACCAAGCCTCAAGACGTTGCTCAAGAGACTGAGCTTGGGATATAGAGATGTTAAGATGATACGTGAAGAAGGGCCAAATGGATGCAACAAGGTCTCCTTGAACAAAGAGATTCGAGATGGATTTACTATGCGAGCTAGAACAACAAAGAAAATAAAAGGGAAACCAAAGACCTAGAGACTTAATACACTCATCAGTAGATATTTCCTTATGCATAAGTTGCCAAACAAAACCTAAAATTTTTGTGTGTGCCCATTTATTCCAAACATATTTCCACTAGTAGACAGAAGGATGAGAAGCCCGCGTTAATTCCCATATACTAGAAACAAAGAAGGCATCTATCAGGATGAAGCAGCCAATGAAGTGTTCCATCATAAACCTCAGAAAGACAGCCCCACATAGATTAACTTTAATGAATGGGAGATAGAAAGATGCTCATAATTTCATACAGGGTCATTGAAGGCCTCTTTGACAGAGATATGAAGCAGAGGAGGGTTGTCTACCTATAGAGGAGAAGTCAACCACATATCATGCAAAAAAAATGTTACATTTCCTGATAGACCATAAGGCGTGGTAGAAAACAATTTCCAACTTGGCATTGATGGCCCTCCAACAATGAGAATCACTCCTAGAAATTGTGCTAGGTTTCAGAAATATTATGGTGTGTACTTGTAGGCGTTGTTCGAAATTTGGTTGTAATGTTTAGTGTCTTTTCTTAATTCCCAATTATGTTCTAATTTTGAAATGTATTTAATCTTAGGTTTGCATTTCTGAACTATTGACTTAGGATTCCTTTCTGGTTCTCCTTTGATGCCTATATATAGCAGCATTAGTTATTAGAATTGATAGGTTTTTGAAGATAAAATTGAATTTTAAAATCATGTTGTAAATAATGGTTTTGAAAATGTGAAAGAAGAGGAAATTATTTTTATAAAATTTTAGAAAACACCTATTCAAGTTTTTATGAATAAGGTATTGAAAAAGAATGATACATCAATTTTTAAAGATGATAAAGCCAAGGGTCGTGAATATCATTTTTGGTCTGTCCCAATTGATAATGGGGATGTTAGAAAAGGTCTTTTGAAAAATACTTCTTGGAAGATAAAAAGGAAATATGTCCCAAAACCTTTGAACAATATGAATGTTTCACATGATGCTCGTGAAACATGTAGCACAAAAGATGTTCCAGTTTGTGTAATAGAAAATGAGGGTGTGAAAAATAATTGAATAGGAAAAACAATAGAAGTTAATCAAAAATAAATTGAGGAAATTAACAAAAAGAAAATAACAATCAGTGCTAGATATAAAAAAAATTTAAATAGAAACAATTTTGAAAGAAAAAGGAAAATAAGGTTAATGATGAGAATGATAATTTCGATTCATAAAATTCAAATTGAAAATTTGTTAATTCATCAAAGATCTTTTAATCAAAATATTCATTCATCTGCTACTCCAAAAAAAATCACCAAATTCTTTTGACTCAAAATGGGGAAGAACAACGTTTGTAAAGCCACCATATGTTGAGGTATCAAAGAAAAAGGTTTTGGATCAATATGTTATTCTAAAAGCATAGAATGAAAACTTGATACAAGAAGAAGAATAATTTTTCAAAAAGATAGCGTAACTAAAGAAAAGCACACATTAATCGAAAAAAAATTAATATTTTGAAGTTAATTTGTGTGATAACAAATCTCAAGTTTTCAAAATGAAAAAAGTGGTGAATAATGTTGTGATTAAGAAATTATTTTTGATCAACAAAAATAAGATTTTTCCTATCTCAAACTCAAAATCTAAAGTTTCACAAGGTTCCAAGATGGTTTGGGTTCCTAAATTGGTTTAATTTTGTAGGTAATGTGTGACGAGTAGTTTGATTCGGAATGGTATATTGATAGTAGATGTTCTCATCATATGACTGGATGAAAATCAGAATTAAGAGAATTTAGAAGTTTGAAAGATGGTGGAAGAGTGAAATATGGAAACAATGCATTTGGAGAATCATAGGATATGTCACAATTGCAAATGGTGAATTCACGATTTGTAAGGTAGATTATGTTGAAAGATTGCACCACAATCTAACAAGTGTTTTTCAACTTATAGGTTCTAGACTCAAAGTGTCCTTTGATGAGAATGTATCGAAATTCATTCGTAAACCTTCAAAGAAAGAAATTTTAAAATGCAAAAGAAATTGAGAAATGTATCCACTTATCCTAAAACTCATTCAAGGAAAAAACCTAGTATTTGTTTGCTTACGAAAGCATGTTTAGTTGATAGTTTGTTATGGCACAAAAGGCTATCGCATCTTAATTTGAAATATACATCAATGTTGATTGTTGGTTGCTCGAATATCTTTCATGCGTACAATCTAACACAACATCGCATTTATGGTATATATTTATAATATATGAAAAATAAAAGTACAATGAAAAATAAATTTTGAAAAATAAAAAAAATATAGAAAGAAACATGAGACAGTGGGTTGTATCATTTCTTTGAATTTGAATATTTGATATTATTTGCTTTAAATTAATCAAATAGATTGATTCTTTGAATCTTTAGTATACACTAAAGAAGATTGTATAACTCTAACATATTTCATCATTGAACTCTTTCTTTTACACATATAGCAACTATAACATTATTCTCCATTTCATTAGTTGTGCATATTTCCTGGAATTGGACCTCTAGATGTAAAACTGGATGTACGAAAAAACTAGACTACTAAAGGAGCACGTAGGACTGCAATCAATGGCCTTAAGACAGTTACAATTGGAACAACTACTTCAATGGGATAGAAGGAAATTGGTAACAAGACTTCTCTGTCGAGATGAGAAGGTACGCCTAATTAGTAGGCAAGATCCAAGCCAGTAATTAACGCTCGAGCTTCTGCTTGGATGTTCTTAGCTAGAAAAAATAGCCTGACCTTGGTAATTCCTGATAACACAACACCCTATTATGAATCCATTTATAGGGAAACCATCCACATTGAGTTTGAAAGAGTCAACATAAGGTGGATGTTAACCTTACATCCCATCTTAGGTTTAGGGGAAATAATAGGAACCTGAAAAGTAAGAATTCTACGTCTACAAATGGATACTTGTGAGAATATTTTATTCATGGATCAAATCGTATCAACGACCATGTTGATCATCAGAGTTTATCAAAATTTGGTGGCTGATTTAAACACTTTGAAGTATAACCCTAACATTCAACCCTTGATCGAATCGCTAAACTATTCACCATTGAAGAAGGCTTTAACAATGTCTGAGAAAGTTTCTTTGTGTCATTTATCCAAGGCTTATTCAACTTCTAGTTATAACAGTGCTGAAGAGGTGATGAATTTTGAGGTTCATGGGCATCGAACTTCTATTTCAATGTCAAATTTATGCAAATTGTGTAATGTCCCAAAAATCAAAGTAAAATTTCCTTTTTAAAAACACAATTCCATAAATCCATGAGTTACCAAAACATTGTTTACAAATCATAATAATTCAAGGTATCAAATCAGGGTATCAAAAAACATAAACTACGAGATATTGTGTATAATCATGCCTTCGCTTTTGCCCGCTCATCAGAAGTACCTGAAACATTGAAATCCAAACTATAAGTCAAAGCTTAGTGAGATTTCTAAAATACCCCACACCACAAAAAAAATACATATACAATTCAAGCATGCATACATGGTTGGTTGGTCCTTGTCCTCAACCCAATCATATCGGGTTTGTTGGTTTATAGCACCTAGCAGTAAAACCTCAACCCCACCATCCAGGGTTTGTTGACACGGCGCCTCAACCTTACCATACTAGGTTTGTTGACCTCCAGTCTCAACCCAAGCATATTGGATTTATTGGGATGTGGCCCAGCCCAACCATCCATATGTAGATATATACACAGAAAAATCGCAGATAGAACAATCATAGCAATCCTACAATCTAGGATACATAAATTCATCAAATTGGTTGGCCTTGGCGCCTTAGAATCATTAACATAATGAGAGAACTCACCTCACGATCAAAAGGATGATTGCACAAATCTATTCTACTCAAACCAACTCTACCACTCGCCTAAATAAAAAACTGGGACCCAATTACATACTGATAATAAAAAATACTCCAAAAGTCCCCAAAGTCAAGTTTAGCGTACTCGGAATGTACGCCCGACATGCTCACAATCCAAATCGAGCATCAATTAGTGTACGCTCATTGTACGTCCAAGTACGCCCAATGTACGTTCTGACTTAACAAACCAACCTTTAAGGACTTAATCCCTTAAGCCACTTTGTCTAAGTCTCAGATCTAGTCCTAAATGTCACTTTAAAGCATAAAGTTTCCAACTTTATGGTTTTACATGCCTAAGTCGAACCCAACAACAAAACTCTAACTATTATTAACCACTAAAGCTCATAATAACTTACATGAGGGAAACCACGAGGCCAATATCACATTTTTATGACTCAAGATGTGGTAAAATGTCCAAAAGGATAGCCTACATATTCGATAGCATGTCATGCACAAGAAAGTCATAACTGGGGGACAAAAGCTCATAATATCATCAGAAAACAACATTTATCAAGTTAATCACCATCGTGTGAACTTTATACCTTTTGGAGATTGAGAATAATGCAAGACTTGCACATCCAATCTTGCTTCTAGCTTCTAAGCTTCACCATTACCTTCTTCTTCCTTTGAAAGACACCAAAACACACTCTCAAGCTTCCAAATACAACAATGGGGCTAAGGTTTATAATGAGGAGTTTTATAGTGATGGATGCTGGAAATGGGATGGGGGCAATGGGACTTAAGTTTCAATATATATTGTCCAAACCTTAAAGATTAGGGTTTATGTCAAGACAGAGTATGGCCAACATACCCGGTGTACTCTCCAAACCACCACCATTTCACTTAATGCTCTTACGCACAGCATACCATCCAGGTATGCCCAGCATAAGGGACAAAGTGTTAGTCCCCAAATGTAGATCCAAATTGGTAATCAATGAAGCAAATAGCAATCAAAATAGAGTGTAGAAGGAGTAAAAGAGAAATAACATCAATCATGAACACATATATTGCTCATAAATGTCAGGTACACCTTGAAAGTACACACACATGTCACTGTTCATCAAGTACAACTGATACATGGTATCCCCCTTTTAAATACTACCCACAACATAACACAAGTGTGCTGCCATACACGCATGTGTAGCCGCACACAACGTGTGCAGCCACACACACGAGTAAGGTTGCACACACACCAAGTCTAAACCATGTCACCACTACACTATATACACTACCACCCTAACAAGATCTATACAGGAATAATGCCTAGCTCAAACCACAATATTATAGTCTTTCAGTCCCCCCCCCCCCCTTGGTTTAAGGCTAGCAAAATTTTGATCTTCACTCTGTTGGCTTCTCATACAACTTTAAATCAGACCTTCCTATAGAACCCATCCACAGTCTTCCATTTATGATGGTGGCAACCATTCCAGTGAACTCTTTAGCAGCCACCTCCATAACATCTTTTCTGCATATAATCTGGTGATGAGACAGAGTACATATATCCCTTTCCTTGAACCTAAGAAGATCTTTAGCACTTATCATCCTCAACACTTGTTCTCTATCCTTGAATTTTATTGCAGCAGTGCCAGTTTCATCGTCGTAAGCCAGAAATTCTATATTATCAAGATATCCCTCATGGAAGTGTTGAGGGATAGGAATTTCCTTCTGTTGTTTAGTCGCAGAGCAAAGGATAATCTTCATAGGCTCGCCTGATTCAGGATCTAGAATTTCTTGGTCTTTTCGGTACAAAGCTCTTGCAGTCTTCATTTTTTGAAAGTTTTCCATGACTTGTCTGTCAAGAAATCTTTTGAAGTTTGTAGCACTGGGATCTTCAGAGGGATTATGGAATGGGGCTCTCGATAGTTCAGCAAGATCCACTTTGGTCCATGAGTTAAAATCATGGGTGCTCTTGTAATACGCAGGATTTCCTGAGTTCCTTTTCACAACCCACATGTTTAACTCGGGATCAAAGGCCCACATTCGAATTCCCGATCTATCTCCAAACTCATCACCAAATTTTCTCTTTTTGAGATCAGTCACGGTTAGCACAGGGTCTTTGGCTCTACGATTCTCGTTTGAATTTTTCATGAAGAGTAACCCTTCGCTTTTGTTAGCCGTAATAGTCCTCTTACCCTGTTTGATTGTGATGCGGTCTCTGCTGCCTTCAGGTTCCTTTTCAAATCTATCGACAATTGTAGTTGTTCTAGGAGGAGGTGGGTCAACTAGAAGGTCGCCTGAAGTAGATTGTGTGGGGGCCATGGGAGGATCCTCAATTCCGTGTGGTTGCTAAAACAAGGCTTTAACTTTATCACCGAAGACATCATACAGAACATTCATCAAATTGAAGTAGAAAGTCGTCACAGAGCCAAGATTTGTCTGTAGATCCTTAATCTGTTTTGTCTTCTCTTCATACTTTTCTTTAAGCTCTTCTATACAAGAATTGTGTTGTTCCAGCAAAATATTCTTTTCAATGAGTTCCTGCCTGAGAATGCAAATCTCTTCCCGAAGTTCTGACACAGTAGACTTGTCATCACCTGAATGCTCTTCTCTGAAAGATATACCCGAGAGGATGAGATTGGACTGTGTTGAGCAAGGTGCTTATCCAATCTGATTGTTTCATCATCCAATGATGGTCTTGTAGGAGAATATTCTAGGATAGAGGATGAACCACCTATCTTAAACATTGTGCTAGGGCCTTCATTTGATTGTATTGGTGGGGTGAAAACAGTAGTAGTGGTAACAGTGGAAAAAACTTGAGGTGCATGGCTGACAATGGGTACCTCCAGACTTGTATTTGATTGACTTCTTTCCAAGGAAGACTGGGAGGTTTAGGGCTGAGATGATTCAACAAGCAGAGCAGAAGTAGAGACAGTTGAAACAGAGGGAGGAATCTCTGAATTCACATCTCTTTGAGATGAAGAAATCTCCAAAGGCTTGGAAGAGGAGAGCAAAATCTGGAGAACATTACTATCTTCCCCAGTCTTGGTTACTGAAGAAACAACTTCATTGACCTTTTTAAAAGTCGCTGTCAAGCCCTAGAAATGGACTAAACTCGTCATTGTCAAGATCAAGTTCGATGTTTGTAGGGAAATCATCACTGATCCCGGTGAAGTCTATCTCTTTCAAAAACTCCATATCATCATTAAGATCTTCATCATCTTCTTCATGAACAGATTGAGTTTCATTTTCCACACGATGTAGCTGATCATGATCCTCAGCCACTACAGCTATAGGAGAAACATGAACTTCTTCAATTTCCGGCTCAGAAGTTGAAATCACAACGTCTTCAGTCTCTGTAGGAATAGATTGATCTTTCGAGTTTGACTGATCACTATCTTCAACAAAAATTCCAAATTTTATTAATGGAAATTTCCCTTCAAAAACAAACTTTCCCCCTCTTTTCTGCTTCATTAAACCAAATGCACTTGGACCGACAGATTCAAGATCCAATGTCTCATTTCCTCTTTGCAACTTAGGATGCATAATGCTGAAAATGATCTGAAGAAATCTTGGGTACATCAAATTTTGTCTCTCTTGTTTCCTTCAATATTCAGCACCATTTCGTGCAGGATAAACTTTGAAAAATTAAATTCAATTCCTGAAGCCAAGGCAGTGATGGCTCTTGTATTGACCAGAGAGATTTCATTCGCACCAGATCTCCTACCAGAAATACAACTCACAAATACATGAGCTAAATATTTCCAGCATGGAGGGAGCAGTTTCTTGATGGTAGGAGGAAAAGTTCCTTCATACCCCAGGTGGTCTAAAACATCATGAGTTTGATGCACATTAATTTCCATGGAATATTCTAGTCTGTCATCAATTTGAAGTGTTTCTCGAATGATCCTTTCTGAAACTTGAATCTTCTTTCCTTCTATTGTGGCTTCAAGGTACTTTTCATCTTTGTCATCCTTCTTCACGACTGCACTTCTCCAAAAATCTTTGATCAAGTACTAATAAATTGTCGGGCTGGTTGTCAATGCATGTTCCAAACAACATTTCTTCAGACCTTCAACAATGAACTTTAGATCATTGTGAGCTGCTGGAGGATTTTTCAAGAAAGACAACTGAGTTGTGAACTTTAGCGAATTCTAGATCTCCCATTTTAATCTGAAAAAGAAACACACGCATACATTAGGGTAAAAATAATTTTAAACATATTTGTTTCAACTATTCATGATTGATCACACATAAAGAAGTGTGCAACCGCACATGAGAATGTATGCAATCGCACATGTGGATGTGTGTAGCCGCGCATGAGATTCATTACACAATAAGTGTGTGCAGCCGCACACATCACTGGCCGCACACGGTCCAACCGCATACAATGTGTGCGGCCGCACACAGCGTCGAACAACAAAATCTTTAATTAAACACATGTTTTTGATCGATTTTGCATAAAAGTTGTATCATGGGAGTCATTTTGCAATGATTACCGGTATGGAGCTTCAATTTCAAGAAGATCGATGAAATTTTAGGATTTTTTAAAGAGAGAGAGAAAGGGAAGCCGTGTGCGGTTGGAGGGATTTCAAATGACAACAGTGGCAGCAACTGAAACCACACATGGGTATATATATACCCCCTTTTTTTAAAATATGGGCTTTTCTTCCCCTTTTTCTTTTAATATTCAAAAATCAAGCCAAAACTCAAACTTTTCAAAAATAAATCATTTTGAGGATTAAAAATTAAAAATTTATTATTCCTAAAAAATTTAACATAAAATATAATAGAATAAAATAAAGTAGAAATAAAAATAAAAATAAAATAAAATAAAAATTCTAATAAAAATAGAAATTAGTTCTAATTTTAATCCTCTAAACTGTT